TTATAAAGTCATAAAACAATGTTTTGAACTTTGGTAACTTTGACTAATCTTCATTAGGAATCTATTAATTTTTGCAAGAGTAAAAACAATATAAAAATAAATAATTAAGATAAACCGATGTTATATGGTGTTATGATCCACTCGAGAAGTAACTTTTCGTATGCTTTATTACTCATGAAAAACAAACTTGATTAATCGCCTAATTGTTAAATCTATAGTAGTACTGCGTGATACTGTTCTTATTTTAAGACATGACATCGACAATTAATTGGTTCTTAATAATTAAGATTATTTTTAAAATTAAAATGTAAACGAAACGGAAACAAATATGTTCACAAAGATAAAGACAAGAGAAAAATGATTGCTATGCAGGCTCAATACAAAGAGAAGGCAAATCGCTTAGATAATGAATATGGGCTCTCCATCAGTGCAGGATCGCAAAAATAGATATTGTCCTTTTTGCAAGCGCACTTCACAGGGACAAGCGACCATTAGCACTCATGCACCAATAATCAAGTTTTTCTCGGTGCGGGCCATTTACAGAGTTCAAAGACTGATCAATATGTCTGCAATCTAAAATTGAAAATGGTTTGATTCAGTTAGGATGTTGTGATAAAATGCTGTGCTTTTGGTTTGTGTGCAGAAATTGGGGATGAAGTGGGTTCCAACCCAATGGTTTGGTGAAGACCGGTTAACCGAGTTAATATTGGAATCCGTGATTTACTGTTACCCTCAAGCAAGGCTTAATTTAGGGTGTATAGGTAATACCATTGCAACACAGATCAAAATGGGAAAGTTTACTATGGAATACCAATCTAAAACCCGTGTTGATTCTTAATCGGGTAAATGGGAGATGACGGACGCCCAATTTCTTCCATCTCGTCTACGGTTTCCCAACACGTTTATCCTAATTAATCGCGTTACCGGATGTTTATAACGCAGAGAGGTTGGGTCTCCGTCGTTGTGCGCGCACTACTGGATGCCAACTCTAGAATTTTGATTGAAACAGCAAGCCCGCAGGGTATAAGAACCTTCTTACATGTTGTGATATGCGCCTTGACTAAGTTCTCGTACACGAAATAGAATAGGAGAGAGACCACAACAGAGAAAGTCGACCTCTCACAAGTTGTGAGTATAATTTAAGTTCTCTATGTGGATTCTGGAGGAAATTCGACTTGCACCCGCGCGCGGAAGTTAAGCCAGTTTGACTTAAAATTTATTGAAACAAAATTATATTTTACCCAAATATGATTTAATCACACCTAAACCTGGACTGGTCGTCATTATCTATTAACAAGTTTTCCAAATTTTGAAGGTACAGCCAGAATAGATGTACAACCAAATTGTGGCACCAGGCTTTTGATGCACCATCACTAAACACTATAACCACTACCTGTTTCCGGAAACATTAACCACTGACCGCCACACCAAACAACTGTCCCACTCAGTCCGTCAATCCCACCCCACCAGATCTGTCGAATGGTACACAAGTTATTCAGCCAATAGTGTCGGCACTGCTTTTTGCCCTGAAAAATGTCAAGGAGTTGTTGAAGGAGTTCGCAGTTGGAAACATTCAGAACATTGGTTCACCAAAATGATAGAAAAGGCCAGAAATCACGGCCAACTTACACAGAAGTGCGAAGGGAACAACACTTCCAAGAGGGGCTATCGCGCGGGCTATGAGTCCATTCGGAAAAAAATGTGCAGGGTTCCAGGAGAAACGCATGGCAGGAAAGTGAGGGTAAGATAAGTCCTGATCGATATAATGTAGCATTTGGCAATCAAAAGATTTTCCAAGGTCTACGAATCAAACGTGGATTCCTTTTAGTTTGTGCTCCTAAAGAAGAGAAGCAAAGAAACTATCAGAGTAATCAATGTACGTGTGCTGGACCCAAACTCGGTATATATGATATACCTTCAAAATAGATAGGAGTCCAATTCTATGTAATTATGGGAATATAGACAAAAAAGACGTGAATGCCAGGTTGGGTCGGTAAAGGTTTGGTAACATCGGAGTTTGCAGATCGGGTCATCATATTTGTGAATCGTTGTTTCTACATTGAGATTGAAAGTAGCATTGGCCTTATTTTTTTTGAGTATTGTTTAGATACCATATTGGTGAATCAACGAAAAAAAGAGCTTC